CGCTCTTGTTGATAAACATTTATTTTCAACTGACTACTTGGAGCACATCATCAACATTATACATCGGTGCAAGCAAAACTCAGAAGCTGACAAGAAGAATTTTACTAACATGCTTCGGTGGTACATAACGTTTCGTCATCATTTGCTGGCTATCATTCCGAAGGTGTTCAAAACAATAAAGAAGACTTCTGCAGCTCAACCGAAGTGAGCTTTCGGTCCCATTGACGCAAAGGGGGAGATTGTTGAGTCTAATTATGTTGCGTCTTGGGCTTTATGTTTTGTATCCGGATTGGGCATGTCCATCCGTGATTATCTAATAGGGTTATACTATAAATATGCATGCATGTATGCATTAGACGGGGTTGATTATTACGTTCATTGTTTTGTATCCCTAAACACCTCTACAGTCGAAGTTCTTAATCGAGCTCTTCTGAGGTGTTGACGTATTAATCATACGACATATTCAAAGCCATTCTTGTGTTCTTGATTACATTCTTAACTGTTTGCTTGCATAGAATCTAACGATCCTAAAAGAACTTTGTTCTAACAATTTGGCTTAAGGACAAATGATGAATGTGAGTCTTGTTTATTAGGCAAGATGAGAAAATCACCTTTCACTAGAACATGCGAAAGAGGTGAAGGATTGTTGGACCTTATCCATATTGATGTATGTGTGCCCTTCATACCTGCCACAAGGGATGCTAATCAATACTACGTGACATTTACGGATGATTATAGTAGATATGGGTATATGTACTTAATCAAAAATAAATCGGAAACTTTTGAAAAGTTCAAAGAGTTTAGGCATGAGGTCGAGAATCAATTAGGCAAGAAGATAAAGATGCTCTGATCTGATAGAGGTGTAGAGTATCTTAGTATCGAGTTCCACGACTATCTTAAGGAATGTGGAATTGTTTCACATTTAACTCCTCCCAGAACACCCCAACTTAATGGTGTAGCTAAGAGGCGTAATCAAAACTTACTTAATACAGTTTGTTCCATGATGAGTCAAGTTTCTCTTCCTATTTCTTTCTCAGGGTATGCCTTTGAGATAGTCGTCCGTATCCTAAATCTTTTTCCCACACAGAAGGTTGCCAAAACACTTCATGGAAAGTACCCTTGCCCACACATATCAAGGTCTGGGGTTGTGAGGCTCTCATGAGACGAGAAACTCATAACAAACTTGAGCCCAAATCTAAGAAGTGTATTTTCATTGGCCACCCTCAAAATTCCTTTGGATACTTGTTCTAGAAACCTAGTGAGAACATGGTCTTTGTAGCTCGAAGATGAGTCTTTCGCGAGAGAGAGCTCATATTCAAAGAGGATAGTGGGAGTGCTATTGATCTGGAAGAAATTTTAGAGTCATCCAATGAAGGAACCTTGAATGACACTGCTCTCAACCAGAGGATGAGACTCCTGTTGAGCCCATTAACAACTCATTACCTCTTCGTCAATCCAGTAGAGGTAGCATGCCATATGGTTTCTATGGTTTTCATATAACTATAGGTGGCAATACATTCATCAGTGATAATACACTGGTGAATTTAGATGAACCTGCTAACTACAAGGAAGCGATGGTGGGCCCTGAGGTTGCAAAATGGAAAGAGGCAATGGACAGTCCTAAATGATAACCAAGTATGGAACTTGGTTGATCATGTACATGGTCGAAAGACAACCGGGTGCAAATGGATCTTCAAGAAGAATACCGATATGGATGGGAAGATACACACCTATTTAGGATGGTTACGAAGGGCTTTAATCAAACCCAAGGGATTGACTATGATGAAACCTTCTCACCAGTAGCTAAGATAAAATCTATTAGGATAATGCTTGCAATTGCAGCTTTTCATGATTATGAAATATGGAAAAATAGATGTTAAAACCGCTTTCCTAAATGGGAAGTTAATTGAGGACGTCTATATGAGTCATCCAAAAGGTTTTTTACATGCCAAATTTCCTGATAGAGTATGCAAGCTTGAGAAATCCATTTATGGATTGAACCAAGCATCTCGCAGTTTGAATCTTTGCTTCCATGATAAAGTCAAAGAGTTTGGATTCTCTAGAAGTGAAGATGAGTCCTATGTATATGTCAAAGCTAGTGTGAGTGTAGTGACTTTCCTAGTCTTGTATGTTGATGACATACTCCTTATTGGAAATGACATTCCAACCTTGCAAGAAGTTAATTCTTGGCTTGGAAAGTGTTTTACTATGAAGGATCTAGGGAAAGCAGCTTATATTCTTGGGATAAGGATTTACAGGGATAGAAAGAAACGCCTTATTGGTCTTAGCCAGAGTACATACTTGGACAAAATACTGAAATGATTTAGTATGGAGAACTCTAAGAAAGGGGTGTTACCCATTCATTGTACTATCAAATTGAGTAAGACTCAATGTCCCAGTACAAATGAAGAGATAGCTGGTATGAGTCGAGTCTCATATGTTTCGGCTGTAGGATCGATCATGTATGCTATGACAAGTACTCCCCCTGATGTGGCTTACGCATTGAGCATGGTTAGTTGATTTCTAGTAAATCCTTATAGAGCCTATTGGACTACAGTGAAGAATATTCTCACGTATTTGAGAAGAATAAAAATACATGTTTCTAGTTCTTGGTAGCAATGATACGTTGAGAGTGAGTGGTTACAGTGACGCCAATTTTAAATAGATAAAGACAACTTATGTTATCAACCTGGCTAGGTATTCTTGTTAAATGGTGAAGCGGTGACTTGGAAGAATTCCAAGTAGGAAACGGTGGTTGATTCTACTTTTGAATCAAAGTACACCGTAGCGAGTGAGGCATCAAATGAGTAGCTTGGTTGAAGAACTTCATTGAAGATCTCAGAGTAGTATCGACCATTAAAGAGCCAATAGAATTCTTCTGCGATAGTGAAGGCACGGTCTCTTTGACTGAAGAACCAAAGAATCATGGTAGATACAAGCATATCGACAGAAAGTACCATTACATATGTGACATCCCGAAATTTAGGGCTAATATTATAGACGACCAATTCACCGCGAATCTCGTTGTAACTTGACTTATTGAGTTTTAGTGCATCTAAAGTATAATAAATAATTTTATTTTAATTATTATATGATGTTAGATGATACCTTACTTCCAAATGCGTAGACTATCAACTGAATCAAACCGCTTAAACGGCAACGCTAATTAATGCGTCTGAAAAACTGGAATTTTGCATTAAGCAACTTTGAGCAAAACAAACATTAAAATATTATAGTACATGTTCCCCTTGTTTCCGAAATTATAAAGAACGTCCAAAACGGAGTTCGTATGCAAAAAATACGGCGGTTTTAAGAAAACAGACAGTAAAACACTTTTTCTTTAATCGCATAAAACTAATTTATTACATAAAATAAAAAAGATGAAAAATAGCTACTTATTATTACATGCTTCATGAATAAAAGAATACTACAAACCATTTTCACAAGTCCACATGAAATAACAACACAAATGGTCCATGACTTGTTTATGCACTCTAAAATACATATAAACATAAAACAACCTTTGTTTTTCTAAGAAAACTTTAAGTGATAAAAAATGCATGTAAACTTTTGTCACAAAAATAACAATTATAAAATTGTCAAAGAAAATATGTATGAACTCATTTTTATAAAAAAATAAGTTATCCATATTCCAAAAAACTAAGATTTCCAAAAATCATAAAGTCTAAAAAAACTTGCAAGGTAGCTCTTGATACAAATTGTTGGGTTTTAGTTCAGTAATAGTTTCAAAAACAAGATATTTTAGCAACCAAAGACTTAAATTTTTGAACAAATATAAACAAGTTATAATCTACCAAGGATTATCTTGCAAGGAATGAACAGATAAAACACCAAACATAGAAGAGAGGAAGAAATAACAACCTTTGTTATTATTTGGGTCATTAAGGGAAGACTTGAAGTTGATGAAGAATCTGGAACCTTTGAGACACCAACAATGATCAAACTTGAAGTTGATGAAGAATGTGGAACCTTTGAGACACCAACAATGATCCAACTTATGCAAAAATGCTAGTCTTTATGTGAAACTTTTAAGCTTGAAAGTAAAAAAACCAAGTATTACTTTCAAGAAAGCAAAAACAAGTAACAAATCTTGTAACACTCAAAGCAATAGAGAAAGAAAGAGAGGGAGGAGCTTAGAGGGTTATAGTTTTTTGGTCTCCAAGAGTGACCAAAAATGAAAGCCTCATGTGTTGTCTTAAAGTTGAAGCAATATCATTTAGTCCTTAACCCTTTAAGCACTTATACACAAAACAAACATGTCTCCCATGTATGCAAACCATGGTTGTTACTTTTGATTAAATAAATAACAAACCCATGACCTCTCTTTCCCTCCTCATTCATGACAACAAGAAGAAAAAAAATAAGGATTTTTATAAATTTTATAAACAAGTTTATAAAATATAAATTTTAACTTTTTGGTAAAAGACAAAATGATTTATCTAGTTCATAATATTATACACAACTTATTAATTCATGCCATATGATTTAATGTGTTACTTTTCATTGCAAAATTATTATTTCCATGAAATAAATAATTTTCAATTAATTATAAGAGTTTATGAATATTTATTAAAATTAATTTCTAATTTCTAATAAATAATCAATCATATCAAGTTATTGTTAGTATAACCATTAAGATCATATGTTAATTGTCAATATCATTTTAATATGATTATTAAACATACAAGACTTCTCATAATGGTCAAAACTTCTCTATATGTCTTAGGAACATTCATTTAAGATTTCGTGAAGATCCAACAGTTTGATCTATGGGGTCATCCATACATTGATGTAAAGTATTCAAAAACGAAAATTCCAAATATTTTCTCTTTTGTCTGGACTCTTCAAGGATTGTAATTAAGGGTTTGGAGTTGCCCCTAGAACGAAAATGATGATGAAAAAGATGTCATTCTTGTTTTTAAACCCTAATAGGGTTTATTTTGGCAAATTTAACCCAAATGGTCCATAAGTTTCAAAAAGTCTTCACATTTTAAGTTTCAAATGTACCCCTTTCAACCCCTTGTGTCCATGTCTATTTCATTTTAGGTTATTAAAGTTGTTTCTTCAGTTTTAAAATCAATATAATATTATTAAATAATTAAAATACAAAAATAATAACACAATGAAGAACAAGATGTTACTATTTTGTCTACATAGAGTTTCAAACGGTATAAATTGTTTTGTGTTAGATACCCACCAAGACGTAATTAGGAGTCGCCACATTTTGCAAGACATATTGGTTGGCAACACAAGTACATAACAGTCAACTAATTTGATAGATTATGCTATAATAAGTTATTGGCTATCAATAATTATTCCATCAACGTCGTCTTTGGTTTTAAATGTTACAAATGGTATCATAGTAGATACACACCTAAGACGTAATCAGGACCGGATACATTTTGTAAAGCTTATTAATTGACAACGACATGGACTACTTAAGTGGATATCTTGTTCTATCCCATCACACCAACTACGCAACTATAAGTATTAACCGTGCACAAATTATATATCCTACCAAGTTATGGGTTACTAATAAATTTAAACATGAAATATAATATCATAAAATTTACCACTAACTTTATTTATGGATGCATAATTTTCCAAGGCTATTTACTTTAAAGTCTTTAAACTTACAAAGATAATATTATAAACATTCACAAGCAACTCATACTGTCATAGTCGCGTTACACAATGGAGACAGTGTGATATTTGATTCTCTAAAAAGATATGTCAAGAAGGATATATCTTTCGAATACAATATTCGACATTTGGATGAAGGTCCCAATCAACATGTGAGCATAAATCACAAATTCACATCACAATGAGAGTAATGGATTGAAAAAACTGCAAGCATCACCTTTGAAGTGCAGCATTTCACAAATCTTAATCTTAATTTATTTTCAACATACTTGGATTTTTTGCAAAGCAATAGCATTCTAATTCATCATCACTTACCTTTTTGGAGTCGCAAGGTAAAATCTCTAAGACAGAGAAGAACACCTTTTAACCTTTCTTTAGATTGAGGGTCAATTAGATTGCCATCGCTATCGAACTTTGCAGGAGGTTGGAAGGCATTCACGACGAACTCAGGCTTGTTTATGAAATGAAGATCAAGAAAAACTCCAATTTGGCGAAGATGGTACTGTGATCTCCCTCCACCAAACCCTCCTCCAGCACTTACGACCGCAGCAGCTTTATCGGCCCACACATTTGGTGGCCTCGATGCCCAATCTATTGCGTTCTTTAAAGGTGCTACAGTCATCAGATATGAACATTCGTAAGAAAAATCAACGAGATGATGAAGTACATCAAGTCAAAACGAATTTCAGTTTATGCAATATGTTTAAAATCAACAACACTTTTGAAGTTGCTTCGATTTGAACGATGGAGTTGAAAGAAGAAATCAAATCACCGGTGATGGAGTAATTGTATTCAGGAGAAGCGAAGAGGAAACAATCGGACTGAAGAATTTTCTGACGAAATTCCTCAACTACAGCCGGATATTTGCCGTCGACTTCCAGATCCGTGTTCAGCATCGGTAGAGGCGAGACGTCGACATATTCGATTGTTATTCCATCTATTGACTCACTCAACTCAATTGCTGCGATTAATTTGATTATGTCAGACCTGATTTCGAGTTCATAAAAAGAGAAGCTAACAGGAGATCGTAAGAATAAAAAAAACAAGAGACAGTAGAGTGGTACCAGATCGGAGGAGGCCACGGTTGGAAGAAGCTTTGCGAAGTGATCCGCAGATAGCTACAACTTTGATGAGAGGTTGGGCTGACATGGTGGATTCGATTTCTGTGCCAAGCGAACCAAGAGGCGTATTAGGACAAAGTGCTGCACTTTTGTTGGTGGCGCCGGCTAATAAAGCCTGTAATTGTGGCTTAATGACAACATAATAATTGAGAGAAGATTAATCTTGGAAAAATTATAAAAAGACCTTTATGTTTGTCGGAAAATTAAGTTTAACCCCAACAATTTTTTGGGTGTGTAGAAATATGAAGGGAAAATAACCGCTATAGATATTTTTTGGGGTTGAATTTTAAAATATAGACACAAAAAATTGGATTTCCGGGTATAGACATGAATTTTTGCGGTTGTAAGCTCTGAGGGCTCCGCGGAATCTACTGTAGCTCCGTGGAATGGCAAAATCATAAATAAATCAAGGTATTAAAAAAAACCTTAAGATCCATTCCGTGGAACTACCTCCGATGAATGAACTCATTCCGCGGAGGTAGTTCCGAGGAATGGATCTTAAAAAAAAAAAAATAACCTCCAACGATTCTTTTATGTAAAGATCTCCGATTAAAATACCAATTTTTTCCACTTAACATTCATTCCAAACATTATCAAGAAAAATTCATACTATCATAATATTTTCTTGAAAATAATTAGTTGAGGAATGAGTATAAACCCCGAAGAATCGATGTGAAAAAAAAAAAAAAAAACTGAAGATCTATTCTTCGGAGCTACCTCCGCGGAATGAGTTCATTCCTCGGAGGTAGCTCCGCGTAATGGATCTTGAGTTTTTTTTTTTTTTTGATACTCTGATTTATTTACGATTTTGTCATTCCGTGGAGTTACAGTGGATTCCGTGGAGCCCTCATAGCTTACTTCCGCGGAATCCATGTCTATACTCGGAATTCCAATTTTTTGTGTCTATATTTTGGAATTCAACCCCAAAAAATGTCTATAGCCGGTATTTTTCCCAAATATGAAACATTAGAATTTGTAAACTATTTTATAAATGGTGTTAAAATCATAATATTCTTAATGATTTGACAAAAAAATTTTAAACTTTATTTTTTTATAGTAAATTCTAACTGCCGATAGTTTTTAACATACTTAGTCTTTTTTGCCGGTTAGCCGGTAATTAGAACTTGACTGTAAAAAAAGATTTTGGAATTTATTGTCAAATCATGAATTAGGATTTTATTATAAAAAAACAAAGTTTAGGAATTTTTGGCAGATCGTTGAAAATATTGAGACTTTAGTGTATATATATCTCATTTTTTGTTAGAAATTTAATTATATGATAGTCTTTAAGCATAAGAGTTATTGGAACATGCTCTGGTCAGCTAGATCCTATTGAAATCTTTAATGTATGTTTCTTATTAAATAGTTTTTTTTTAATCTCAAAAAACCAGCATTGAAAAAAATGAGATAATCAATAAAAAGTGAAGAACCAGAGTTGTGTTCGCTTTTAGCAATCCTAAAAATGGAGAACTAAGAAACCGGGAAACACAAAATTGCCCATCTTACCGCTTGTCCACATTCATACCCTTTTGACTAGGCGTGTGTTGTTTGTGTTTGTACAACTTGTCACTTCTTTTCAGTTTAAGATTTGGCAGCGAACCAATAAGCAAGTTTTACAAGTCTTCTCACCCTCTCTTGCTCTCTCTTTTGCATCTGTTTCCCCTAATCAGGATTGTAGAAGGGTAAAGATGGTCCTGCGAACGAAAATCATAATTAAAAGTTCTTGGGCTACGAATTGGGTCTTACGAGGCTGATAAAATTATTTGTTTCTAGGGAAACCAATACTATACACTAAAGTCGTAATATTATCAACAATTTGACAAGAAAGTCCTAAACTTTATTTTTTTTACAGTAAAGTGCTAATTAGGTACTAACCGACAAAAAAAGGGTAAACATATCAAAAACTGTATGTAGTTAGGGCTTTATTGTCAAAAAACTAAAGTTTATGACTTTCTGGTCAAATCGTTGAAAATATTAGAACTTTAGTGTAACAAATGAAGCTGTTAGCATTTAGTATTTACTAATGTGGTTTGTATAAGCCGAGTTAGACATTGACAACTTCTAAAACTTAAAGTACTTTTGTTTTTTTTACCAAAATTATAAAATTATAGGGGAAATAGTATAAGTAATTATATTTTAATGACTTTACAAGATCCATGGAAGAAAGGTCGTATTTATCTATCAACTAGACGTATATCTACACGTTGCCCAGGAGCAAAATTATATGATAAAAATGCTGACAAATCATCTATGAACATAAAAACTTTAGATATAATCAAAATAGACAAAAAAAAAAAAACTAAATATAAACCGGTCGTCACAACCCACTACATATATTATGTCATCTAAAACTCAAACTAAATAACATAATCACTGTTTGAAGTCAATTATATATAAACAATTCAACATTAAAAATATAAATGAACACATTAAATATATGATCTCAAAATTTAGAATGTAAGAAAATATAATGTATCTAGTCTAATCTAATAAATGAATGATTTTTTTTGCCACTTGTCACACTCTAATTCAATTTGTCAAATGTCATTTTGTGGTTATTTTGAATTAATTTTTTTTTCTACACGTCATTTTATGAGTTTTTATATTTTATTAAATTTCACATAATATTTTAATATAATAATTGCAATAAATGTAGTAATAAATAGATATCAATTTCATTAATCAACTTACCTTTTAATTTCAAAAGTCTCAAAATTAAAGCTCATTAGTTTCTCTTGTTTATTTATTTAAATTATTTGTTTAAATTTAAAAGATAAAATCATTTCCATTATAATACTTCATTATTTTTCTTATTTTCTTATAAATTCAAAGTTCTCAAATATTTTGACATTTATATTTAACTTTCTTCTTTTAAATTAACTCATATAATACATGGGTCTCGCAACTATTTAATAATAACACAAAAGTTAGCTATAGGAAACAGATTGTTATAGATTTTTAAGATGATTTTATAAATTTTTATACTATTTTTAATAATCATTATTATTTAATGATAATCAAGTTTCATTTTTGTTAAATGGTAGTATCTAACTTTTTTTTTAGATATTTTAATTTATGTTGTATTTATGCAAAGACTAAAATATAAATTTTAAATGTTTAACTAATAACTTGACAATAACGTCACAACTTTTATATCATTTTTCTTATAAGATAATTTTAATCGCAAAAAGATTCTACAAACCATACAACCGTCAAATGTTTAATAGAACAACATAAAATCATTTTTAGATATATAGATATACAACATTAGATATGATGTACATAGTTACATATCAATAATAAACTCTCGATTTTTTGAGAATCACTAATTTCAATGATTGTAATTCTAAAAAATCAATGAATATGTAACGACCCAATTTTCAAAAGAAAATTTTCATTTTTAAATAGTCAAGAACATTTCCGATAAACCATAAAATCTCAAGTACATTTGTTTTCAAATTCATAACATCAACAATATTATTCCAAACATTAGAGTGTCCCATAAAAACGCCTGAGAGAGAGTGCATGCCGCGTCATCAAGCCTTGCCCTTGCCTTTAGGCTTAGATGTACCTGAAACAAATCCACAACTGTAAACTAATGCTTAGTGAGTTCTCGAGAGCATACCCCACACAATCCACATAATCATATAGTTATATTAGTTATAAAAACTACATAAACCACATAAGCCATGCATACAAACATATAAGGATGTCGTGGGCTCCTCCTAAGGTCTAACTATAGGATGCCATGGGCTCTCCCACATGGTATTACACCTAAGTGTCATGGGCTCCCCCATGGTCTTTAGCTGGAAAGCCATGGGATCCCCCGCATGGTCTTACATCCACGTGCCATGGGCTCCTCCCATGGTCTTTACTTGGAAAGCCATGGGCTCCCCCACATGGTCTTACATCCAAGTGTCATGGGCTCCCCCATGGTCTTTCCTGCAAGTATCACATATATAACTAGTATAACACTTAGCATAACTAACTATCATACCACATATCTCTACAACAACGAGTGTACCACATATCACAAAATGGGCCGCCCTTGGTGCCTTCGACCCATTGGTATGGTGAGGAGACTCACCTCTCGAGAATGCTGAACTGACAAGATAAGATCAGATAAGTCCCAACACATAGCTCCAACTCAACTGCCTAATAATCATCATGTGATTAACTTGTCAAAATCCCGAAGTACAATAAATACCCTCAAAGTCAACCCTGGTCAAAGTCAAGGTCAGCAGTCAAGGTCAACAGTCTATGTTGACCCCAACTCGTCGAGTGCATCCAACAAGTCGTCGAGTCCCTTCAGATCCCGAGTCAACTCGCCGAGTCACCTGAGTAACTCGTCAAGTTCCTTGATGTCCAAGGGCCGGAAACTCTAAACCGAAATCTCTTGATCGAAATCTATTAATCAGCTCACCGAAATCACTCTGGATCCCAAAAACAGGAAAACCCTACCCGACTCGTCGAGTTGGCTAAGCAACTCGTCGAGTCCCTTTAGCCCTTTTTGTGTTCAGTCCTTTCCAGTGGGATCAAATGCTCCAAACTACAGATCCAACCCCTTATAGTGTAGTTACCACGTAAAGTTGCAAACTTTACGTGCATGCAAGGCCTCACAAGGCTAAAACACTAAGACTAAGGTTCTACAAGGTTTTAGTGCATGGAAAGGGCCTAAGCTAGATAAAGTGGGTAACTTTATGTCATTGAAGACCTAGAGGTGTCCAGATCTGGAACCATGTCCTTATGACAAGTCCAAATCCGAGTATGACACCCTTTTTGCACCAAAAGTGACCATATTCTTCCATAAGATGAGATCTAAGCAAATAGAGATCAAGGTAGCAACTTTTTACCTCTAAATGGATGCTAATAACAGGTAGATGTCGGATCCAAAGCCTTCTCCTCACTTCAATCTCTTCAACCTTCAAGTTTCCTTCCAAAAAGCACAAGATTCACTCTCCAAAGCTCACACATACTCAAGAAAGCACCAAAATGCAGCTAGAGTTTCTCTCTGGACTGTAAGAACGATGAAAGATGCTACAAATGAGCCATAAGTTCTTTAAATAGAGTACATACCCCTGAAAATTAGGGCTTTCCTTTACAACACCTACTCGTCGAGTCGGGGCCTTCCGAATTGTCGAGTAGGATCTAAATCCC